GGGGGGGGGGGGGGGGGGAGATTTGATGAGGGGATGCGCCAAAGACAGCCCGGGGTGAGCCTCGAGGAGCAAAATCGATGAAGACAAACAACGATGGAATGTTTGTTGAAGACAAGAAGGGAATCGAGAGCGATGATTTTGTTCCGACCAGATGAAGCGGAATGAGCAGAAATGACGACCTTGTATCCCGTGGGATACAAGTATCCCGCGGGATATGCCATCCCCCGTGGGATATGCCATACCACGTGGGGAGTATCAAGCTGGCCGGCCAGTCATTTTCCTCGGCCAGAAACACGATGCTGGCAAGAAATTAGGAGGCCTCCCTCCCTTTTCCAGCGAAGCATCATCCATGCACAGCAGATCCGATAGATTCTACGGCCTCATTTCAGGCCCCCTGCAACAAAACTGAGCCAGGGGCCCGAAAAACTGGTGCTCTGCAGTGGAAAACTGACGCCCTGAGTGGAAAACTGGCCCTCTGACGCGGAAAACTGGTGATCGATATCTGACGTGGAAAACTGACGCCCTGAGTGGCAAACTGGCCCTCTGACGTGGAAAACTGGCGATCCGACGCGGAAAACTGGTTTTCTGCTGCTTGACCCAGTTTTCCAATGCCTGATGCCAGTTGTCGACTGCCTGATGCCAGTCTTCTAATCAATGTGCCAGTTTTCCACTGCCTAGTGCCAGTTTTCCAATCAATGTGTCAGTTTTCCGATGAATGTGCCAGTTTTCCAATGAATGTGCCAGTTTTCCAGTAGATACACACGCAAGACCTCAACACACCATCAACACATCATTTGACAGTGCAAGGGATGAAAAAAGAATCAGGCGATGGATGCACAAACGGATGGATGTATCTTGTGTACTTAGATGATCGCCAGCAGCCGGACGAACAGTCAAAGAAGACACCAATACACTCATCCGTGCACACGTGCAGAGAGGAAGGGAAAGACAGGAGTGCCCGGCACGCATGCATAAAGCTGGAGACATGTCGTTGTGACCAGAATCACGTGCCTACTGGAAGCCCCATACCACTACTGCTGGAACGGCCATGGGCATGGGCTGTGTTGTCTTGCGACACGCAGGTGCCCGAAAGGCGACTATCTGTCGTCTCTCGCTGCGCTGTCCGCGGCACGCGCCAATCTTGCGCCGGTTGTCCACGTCAGGTGCGGAGCTTTTACTTCAAGTGGAGTCGTTTGACGCTTTCTACATCATCTCAGCCCCCTGGCTGTATATCAGCTTAGCACTCGGAGTGGAAGGAGGAGCGTCTCTGCCCCCACAGGCACACGTTCCGTCGGGTTTCTCCGTTGCTTCCCCTGTCTCTCTACTTCCTTAATTCCCTCTCTCATCCTTTTATCCTGTGAAAGGCGAAAGGGGGCTCGAGCTTGGGCCTGACTTCTGCGGAGGAGGGCGCATCCCTCCCGCCTACGAGGTTGGCGCCCGAGGAGAGCATCTTCATACGAGGGGGTAGCGAGCTTGATTTAATTTTGCGGTGGACGGACGCGGGATCGAAGGTATGAGCGTGCCTCCCTCAGCAGGCTGAGGCGAGTTCCGAACAACTATTAAAACTTAGAGATATGCTGCTTCAACAATCCATACTCACTACAAGTCATGGTCTGACTGCGGAGGTGCATTGAGAAACATGAACGCTTCTTTGAGAAGTGCTCTTGTATGATCAGAGAAGATGACTTCGACATCAACGAGTTTCTTTGCGGGCTTATCCCTCGTATGCCCTGCTCGAATAATCCCTTCGATGCGGGTGTCATCAAACGAACTAATTTCGGCCTCGACGCCACCTATGCGGACCGCGGCTGGCTTTTTCTCTTTCTTAAATCTGCGTCCTCCAACGGTGAAGGGAATGTCGAATTGTGTAGGTGCTCGCCATGGTAGGATGTCGTAGATTACAGCAGTGCCCGCCGCTAGCTCCTCCGCTTCGAACTTATCCAGCGATTCCTCCTCGGGAGTGATGATCGTCACCTCATCCTTGACAAATGACACGATGACTATCGAGCAACCGGGTCCGTAGACAATGTTAAGGTTCTGCTCTCCGGTGTCACTCGTCAGGATCCTGTATTGTATGGACACACATACAGAAGTTACTGTGAACTGTGAGATGTTTCAACCCACTCAATGCTTTCATTGGCGTTTTCATCGTCGGGCAAGTCGAGGAAGTAGATTCCTTTTCTCCACCTCGAGACCAGCATATCATCACGGAGCTTTCCGCCGAAACACGTCCCCCGGTACTCACTGATTCCCGTCTGATATGACGAAAGAGCGACATGTACATAATGATCGGACAGAGAGCTACCGTCGCTCTTCTCTTTCAGCGTACTGTTGGCGAGGGTATTTCCCAGCCTGGAGTGTATTCCATATCCGGTGTCAATACGTGATGGTACCTAGCCAATCACAACCATCGGCAGGTCCCGTAATAGCTGACAATACCAGTTGAACACGTGGTTGCCTACCACTGTTTCGTGTCATTCGTGTTTCTCGCTCTGGCTGGATTAGGATGACCGTGGTGCGCGCCCTCGAAACTTCGAAATATCCTATCGGGCGTCTTGAAATGTGGGCGTATGACTGGCTGGCAGTTCTTGAGCTTGTCGCTTCTCGGCACCTTGTAAGGTTTGGGCAGGTAAAGAGGGTTGCGGACAATCCTTTGTTCACTCAGGTTTTCAATCTCATCCCTAACATGAGCAGAAGAGAACATAATCCGCAGATACACCACAGACACACACATTGCGGTCGACGATTTATGGTTACCATGTGTCGAAGTCCGCAGCAGTACAGCCATTGCTTTGCGGCTCGCCGTTCACACACATTCCGAGAAAATTGTTGGGGCCTAATGCAGTCAGAAGAAAAAAGAAACACAAAAAAAAAGAAACACACACACACACACACAAAAGAACACACACACACACACGCACAAAAGAAACTGCGTGTTTCCTGTTGCCCTGGTGCTTCTATGCTTTTACCGTTCATGATAATATATGTTTCGCCTTTTCACACGGACAGACGGAAAGACCGATAGACATACCTGAATCCCCTCATGTACCTACACAACGACTCGCCACGGGCGCACCTTTTGTTGTATAGGTAGCGTCATAAATGTTCCGTAAGCCACTGGCCCAAATGAAAATGCCAACCGCAGAATCAGCCAGATCATAGCGATCGCCCTCCACCTGCAGACCGTCAAAAAGTCGAGACAAGTCAGCCTTCCTCTGTCTGGCAAACCTGATTTGGCTTCTCAACAAGTTCTCGTGTCTTATAGTAGACATACTCGATCTTATTGGTCAGCTTTGGATTGCGAACATCTATCTGGGGAACCAAATGGCAATCAATGCACCTCTCGCATGACTAGTTTCAGCATCCTCCATTGTTCGTGTACCTTCAGGAGCGCCCCAGTCAGGGGCGACTCGGGCAGCCCACCGAGCATACAGTCTGAGGTGATGATATGACAATAGTATAATGATAGTATTGTGGAAGGGGTTACTCGGCCATCCGGCATTCGTCGCACTCCCGGAGCATGCGTACAGACTGCCATCGTTGTCGAAATAGATGCCATTCACGTTATGGTCACTGTTCCCATTGGGAAGGCCCTCCACAACCGTCTCCAGGACCGAGAAGTCAGGACCAGTCAGACGAGAGATCTTGGCCATAAAGGCAGCGTAGCCATTCTCTCCTTCAAAGCATGTGATGCCCTTCCTCCACTGAAGCCATATAGCACAGAGAGGCTCTCGCCGTGCTCCTTGTGGGCCTTTTGCGCTTGCCCAGTAATATATGGGTGCGTGTGAGACGTATAGGTGCGGATCGGACGGATCGCGAAGTGGGTCGACTGCAGAGCACCGCAGAGAAACGGCACGAGAGTCGGTCGATGTGCACAAGCCCCTCCTTTTATCTGCGAGCCCTGCTACATACATGCGATGCCGATAAGGGAATGATCGGGGTATTGTTTCTTGATCGTGTCGTGGAACTTCAGAGACTGCGGATCTATCTCGTCGTTGGCCGTGAATCTCACACTCATGAGATTTCCATCAGCTGTCCCTACGTAGAAGGTCTTCGCATCAGGACCCCATGCACCTCTCAATCCGAAGCCACCCACAACGGCATCTCTCTTTTTTTGCCATTCTGCCCGAGTGTTCTGTTCTCCACCAGACCGTTCTTCGTCAAATAATCGATCAAGGATCCTGCTCTCCTCCTGCTGAGCTGCGTGCCGATCCACAAAACTAAAAAGTCCCCTGAGAAGTGTTTTTGGCGACTTGTACTTGATGTCGTCCATTTGCCCAGCCGCCGAGACTTTCACGGGGTACGCATTGGATATCCCGCTGCTTGTCTCGACTTGAAGGTGACTCAAACCGGTCTCGTCAATCTGTAAGAGAAAAAGACAATAGGACGGCGACCCACCCTTTGTATAAGTGGAGTCTGACCTGATGTGTTCGGTACGTGATTTGTGTGCCGCTCCACTCCAGCACTCCTGCCTCAGCTCTGCCACCGTCTGGCACTTCGTCTCTTTTCACCATACGGCCACTCAGGAGGAGCTTCGCAGTCTTTAAACTCTGAACAGAAGGAGGCGCAGCAACGAGTATTGCTTTGTGGTTAGCGTGTCAAAAGGAAATACCTTCATACCTTTGGATTGAGGAAGCCTACTCCATGAATAATCATTTCTTGCCCACCGTTCGGGGACATCACATCTGGAGTTACCTTATTGATGAAAGGCGGCCAGTCAAGCTGGCCGTGGGTCATGTACCAACGATTCTTTCCTTTGACCTCAAGCCGCACGCCATCTGGCGACGATCCCGCCTCCCCCACAAGCCACCGGACCTCGAAACTCACTCGCTTGTCGTAATCCTTTTTGTCGGGCCGAGACAGGTGGATCGTTCGAGTGTCATTGGCGAGCTGTGTTTCCTTGCCATTGATCCACACCGCCACGTCATCCCCTCCTTTCACATCCAGCTTCATCGAGTCAAGGGACCCGTCATCGAGTATTTCGATCGTTCCCTGACACAGAGGCCAGCAGTAGAGAGTACGACCATGTGAGAAATGACGCCTAACATCTGTCGTTCCTCCCACTTCCGACCATGGCCCGTATGATCATATGTTCCTTGAATTGTGAATCAAGATAGGAATCCGCTCGATCGGGCACGATCCGGCACGATTCGTATGGTTGCGGGGCGTCTGGGTCTCGCCCGTCGCCAGCAGCTGTGATACTGGCGGTCACCCACTGAGGCCGCAGGGCCTCTTCTTTCTGGTGCAATGGATCAGAAATGAGAGCCCCGGCATTGCTATGCAGCCACTCCGACACAGTGTCTTTGCCCGTGTCCGCGGGATACAGTGAGAGAGCACAGCCCGGGACCTCATCTATCGTCGTGACTTGGACGACGTGGTCCTCTCCGGATAGCAAACGCCCTTCTTGGTCTCCAATGGTCAACCTTGACGTGTGCTCACCGATGCTAAGTGATGGAAACAACTCCCGCACGCAGTTTTTCTCATCTTCAGGGCATTCCTGCAACAGAACGAGAAGCCGAACCTTCTCACATTCGACCACCGGTGCCTCTCCGCTTACAGTCTCCTCTTGAACACTTCCGTCGACCTCGAATATGTACCGTGTGACCCTTCCCCCCCACTCGTGCGTATGCGATCCAGTGGCCTACAAGGCAGACAGGCGGTCGAGTCACACGGTGCGCACGAACCGTCGATTGAAATTAGTCGCATCTTTTACGTCAAGTAGAAGTGCCTCCTGGCCATCGCCGTCATAATCCACTGCGACCCTGTGGACAGTCATGACAGGATGAAGGAGGGTGTCCGGTGCTAGAAAGACTGGCGGCGAGTCGCGAGGAACAAGGGCTGCGAGGACGGCATCTGGCACCATAACCTTGCTGGGACGACGGGGAACAGGTGAATACTTGACCGAGAAAAGGACACACAGCGATGGAAGGCCATCGAGATGAGGGTCCAGCTGACTCTGTCAGCGTACCTCGGTTGCAGGTGACGATGTTCCTACCACGACAATTCGTTCGATGGATGCACGAAGCGCTGCCAAAGGCTCCCGCGCTTCCGTGTTGCCGACCGCCACCAGGTTGTCGAGGAAGGCAGGTAGGGATTCTCCACGAGGAAGGCCGATCTCTGAGAAACCTGTCGGCCTCATTGGTGGAGGCTGAATTCTTCCTATAAGAAGCACCCACACCTGATGCCGAGAAGATGCGCCAACAAAGGGAAGACAAATCGATAATTCTATCCAGGTCAGCCTCACTCACGCACGTCTCTCGAAATGCGAAGGAAGGCAACATTGGTCCTCGGCCCTTGTTCGCGATCATCCTGTCCAGTCCCCTCTCCCTCTCGAGTCTGACCGCCGTTCCATCTGACAGTGATGTTGGCAACCTGATTTGGCTTGATGTCCTCGATAAAGTGATTATCCCTCCCAGACACAGAAATGGTGAAGGCCTCCGCGTCGCCCTCCAGTTTGGGATAGAGCCTGCCTGACGACCTCTCAGGACTCTCATTGACCAAGTCGAAGGTAGCGTTAGATGTTGAGCCACTGAGATAGAATGTCGGATACGGGTGCCTCTCGTAAGGGGGATGTGACGTGGAAGAGACAGACAGCCGGACTGCAGGACGCGGTTCGGGCAAGAACAGGGACCCGTCTTCATGGCACACGGCGAACCTTCTGCCCGCAAACGACGGATCAGAAGGAACACAGAGGGGGAGCAGGGGGGCTGCATACAAAGACAGCCGAAACGCTCAACACATGCGGCCGCTGATTGAGTGGCCGCCTCTCTTACTAGCTCACCTTTCTTGTTGTCGTCTCCCTGGTGTCGCTTCCTGATTACAGGTGACGCTGATAGCACAGGCGATACCAGCACGAAGGACGCAATAACCAAAGGCTGGACAACAAATACTTCTGGCATCATGTATGTACACTGGGCCTGAGTATGACTACGTATGGGACCGTTACTCGGACGCATACCGTTATTTCTGAAAATCTCTCGTGACTTGGTATCAATGGCCGTTTTCGGTGCGTCGCAGGGAAACATGGTAAACTTCTGTCTGTGTACTGGCGGGTCTGTTTGTCCAGACATCGAAGAACAACCGGACAAAACGCACAAGACGGGCTATCCCAGGGAGCAAGGAGATTTTCGCCACACTGATTTGTGCTTCGGGGATATCTGATCGAGGAGAAAGCGCATGAGGGCGATCCCGCTACGGCTATGTGTCTGAGTACTTTACATGCGATTGGATGTGCCAGAAGGCGCGAATCGATCTTCGTTCGGACACTGATTATGATACATTAAGGACGTGTGAGCGGGTCAGAAGCACGTCGACCAACAGATCTCAGACTCATGCTTTTCAGGGTTTTTCTGGGCTTCTGTTTGTCGCAATCTTCCCCCTCCCCTCGTCAGAGCCAGATGTTGAGCGGAACACTGGCGCGGCCCTAATTTGCCTTTGGAGTCGGCTTCAAGCGCAACGAAAATAGATCTGACGATGGATTTCTTCCTAAGCGTTGTTTCTGCAAAAGAAACCCACCACTTGAGACGTGCGCGACACCAAAAATAAAAAGGGAGGCACAGAGCGTGGCAGGCAGGAAAAGTCGATAAGAAGGGAAGCATAAAGAGAGGCATTAAGGGAGACAGACAGGGAAGGAGGGAGGGAGAGAGGGAGGGACGCGACCAGAAAGGAAAAAGAAGAAAGTTCAAGGCCATAAGAAGGCGACATAGAGAATGTTAGACAGATACATACTACATCACAGTTTCCCATCGCTACTGGTGCGACACAAACAGAGGCGAGGAGCGGCGGACCAGCTGCAACAGAGCTATAGCAATACGCAAGCATCTTATGGCGTGACAAATTTGGGGGCGGCGTTGAGTGTGCTCGATGAAGTCTCACTTGCAAGCAGCCTTTCTGTGCGTTCGTTTAGCCGTCACTCACATCATTGTTTCTGATGTCCAGCAGAGCACCGCCGCCGCATTCGAGCCTTTGAGAATGACACACACACACGCACACACACACACACACAGAGACAGAGGGAGAGAGAGAGAGAGAGTGGATGAGACATTGGCGTCATTCAACTGTGTCGCTCACAGCTGAGACACAACTGCAAATTGGCCACCGTATGCAGCCTTATGGAGTGCCGTGTCTCCCTTCTGTATGTGTCATACACACGGGAAAGGCAATCAAACAGATGAGCCGCATTCTGCAGTGTGTATCTCACATCGTTCGTATCCGCGTGGCTGGCGTCAGATCAGATAGATCTCGTGTGCACACGCGTTCGAGCATGGATGTCTGCAACGGAGATGCTTCACCGACACAGCCCTCACCGCTTCCTCGCTCTGTGTGTGCGTGTCCGCTCAGGTTGGCCATTCATTGGCTCAGATGAGCCATCAGGATCTCCGAATGGGTCTGTAGCGGTCGGCTGTGATTGGCCAGCGCACGCTTCAGCGGCTGAATTCAGTTGTCACCACGTGCAGCGCATCTCCCATCTCCCTGCTGGTTTGTGAACATATTCAGATAGCGCACACGGTGTGGCCAGCAGCTCCATAGATGGCGCACGCACGTTGGTAGGGAGGGAGGGCCAGGGGAGGGACCAGAGCCGGCCTCCCTGCCGGAGCTCCGGGCGCACACCAAACAGCTCAAGGCTGCCATCGACAAAGGACTGGCACTCGGCAGCGGCCTGACCCAGCCCACCGCCAGCGGCTCAGGAGACACCAGCCCTCGCCACCTCGCACCACCATGCCCCGCCAGGCACCGCGCATCCGTGTTTGCCGCGGAGCTCGTCGGCGTCGGGGAGCGCTGACGTCAGCAGCTGCCTTTGCCGGCTCATGAGTGGGGAGCAGTGCTGCCTCCAGTAACGTACGAAACAGTGGTGGCAAGGGAGCACAGGAGGTCTATGGGGGTCAGTCATGAACGGTACAGGCATATGATGTGCATTTCCTTTGGTGCCGCATCTTCCCATCTCTGCACGTCTGTATTTACGTGCCAGCACACGTGCCAGCACCCATTGCGACGGCCGCTGCTGGAGCAGCGCCCCTGCCCTGAGTCCGTAGACTAGGTAGAGAGAGATGAGTAGGATTGAGTGATGGGTGTGTGCCTGAATGTAGGATAAGAACCGTGCGTGCATACGTGGATGCAATCTCAAGTCGACTGGTCACTCAGAAACACAAGGTCACCACATAACATCGACAACGAAAAACAATCAGTAAGCATCCACGCCCTCTGCACTCGCTTCCGAGCTATTGCTTCCGAGTCTCTCTCTCTCTCTCTGCATGTCATGCGTGTGTCCCTTTCGTTCGGCTATGGCTAGCTGTGATGCAGACGCAGAAGGCGACTGTGTATATTTGTACATGTGTCACGCTTCAGTTCCAAACACAAAAAAAAGAAAAAGAAGAAGAAGCAGAAGAAGAAGAAGAAAGGAAAGAAAATTAATAATAATAATAATAATATAAATATATATAATAATAATAATAATAATAATACGCTGCTGGGGACGCCCTTGAAGACGGTCTTGCTTCGCTGACGGCCGTCAGCTGCTGCTTGGTGATGAATTCGAGCGTGGCCTCGCTGAAGCGCTGGTTCAAAGTATACAACGTCTTCAACTGATCTGACAGACACGCGGCGAAGCTGACACACGCACATGGCTGGATGGATGTGCTATTCGCCTTGCTGACATCCGCAGCTATCGCTGCCGACGCTGTCGCTGGTTTTCATCGCCGCCGCCTGCTTGAGTATATCACGACGTGTCTTGTGCTTGTGATGGTGAGCGTGGCTACGTGAATGACGCCCCATGACGCAACACCATGTGCGCCGTCGGTTATGGAGAGCTGTGTCGGGCACGCTGTCAGGCCCTTCCAGCACACCATGGCCTCGCGAATCCATTGCCTCACTGGGTTCTCGCCGTCGGGTAGGTCACCAATCCAATCATGTCAGCCACCTGCAGATCACACACACAATATGGACCCACCCATGGATCTCCCCGTTCGTTGTTTATAGCCTGACCCGGTCAGTTGCAATGTCCCGAGGGCCCATGGATGGATCTATGAGGAGGATGCCCTTCTCGAATATCCAATACACACCCTCTGCACGGGGCGGCGTCGTCAGAATGTCAAGCAGAAGAATACAGTCAAGCAGAAAGCAAGGGCAGCAGCGTCGAAGGCCAAGGCGAGGACTGCAGGCAGAGGCAGAGGAGGAGGAGGACGGCACGGAGGAGCATCGTCGGCAGCAGCAGCGGCGACGGGTGGAGAATGGGAAGCGCAGACAAGTCGGATGACTGACAGGAGAAGGCGGTGTAGATAGCATGTGACTGATCGCATTCATGTGTTGGGTGAATGCATGTTCGAATCCATTCATTCAATGAACTCGATCATCACAAAAGTCCGTTTCACGTTGAGAAAAAGTCCGTTTGCGAAGAAAGCGAATTCAATGTGCTGCCCCAAGACTTGCCCAAGTGTAACAGACTTAAACACTGAATCTGAATGAGCAGCAAATCCAACGCAAGCCGGTCTTCGACAAATCCGTCCCCGTGAGGCCCAAGTATAGCACTTATTCTGTTTGTCTGCCTCATTTTCGTCTACCGATGCACTCGCGTCACTTCGGCGCCTCTTCTCTATCGCAGGTCACAGGGAAACTCACGCCAGATTCTTCGCATTCTGCAGATAGGCACATTTAATGCATCCGTCACGTCTGCTTCTTTGGCTTATCTCTTCTCATAGGTCTCCTGCACGGTCGTCTCAGTGAGCATTTGGTCATGAGCTTGCTCAAGACCCCAGCAATCCCCGACCAAGAGGCGGTTGGGTTACAACTAACAGCCCTCACGTTACATCGACAGGGACGGCAACCCCCGCACACTTAAGGCTGTGCGGGAGCTTGGCTTGAATGCACAGACCTGGCTGGTGCGCTCGCGCAAACGCAGAGTAGAAAGACGATGACAAGAGCGACGCCGGAAGACCAAGACCCTCAAGACTACTCGATGTGAGATACACTTGAGCAGGAACCTGAGTAGCATGCGAGCATGCGGATAAGCGAAACAACACGCGAGACGTGTACACACACACGCACGCGCGCACGCACACGCACGCTGTCTACACACAGCTCACTGCACATATTTGTCCTTTTGGTCCAGCTCCCTGTTTCAGAGTCTCGCGCTCTCGCCACATCCGTGTAGCGCATGCGAATCCAAGACGACGCCTTTTCTCATTCTCGCCCTCTAGCAATCGGAAGTCGGTGCCGCACGCCATGTCAGCCCCCTGCGTGCTAGCCTCGTGTAGCAACTCAAGAACGAGGCCATCCAGGATGACCACCCTGTCGAATGGACCGCTGTTTCCATCCATCAAAGGCTCGAGCGCCCTGTTGCGCTTTTTGGCGAGGTACTCGACTGCGTTGACGTCGGATGGTCGCCCCTCAGTGTCAGTTACGATGCCATGATGCGCATGGAACAGAGTGAGGAGAAGGTCCATGCCGACCAGAAAGTCCTTCGAATGGTCTTCGCTGCTTTTCTCATAAATGGACAAATAGACATTACCGGGCCCCAGAAAGTCGATGACGTCGAGCACCTGCAGCACCAGCTCTTCCAGTGATTCTTCCGCGTTCCTGAGTGTCAGGGCAAAGAAGTACCTTCCTCCCTTTTGAGGGCCTCATAGCGTGACACATCCCGCTTCTCCCTCAAAGCACGTCAGCTGTGCCGGATTTTCATTTCGTGCGCTCCCAATGTATACGCCAGCTGTCTCGCCAACCCGTTTCGCTCTGCTATGACGGCATCGTCAGTCGCGAAATTTCGCTGCTTTGTCAGGTATGAATTAATAATGTGGAAGATGGGTACCATCTTTTCGCTCCCACTCTTCGGGAGCGACTCTCAACAGACGCCATCACACCGTCAAGATAGGACACCATATCGTGGAACGACATCAGCGGAACGTCACTGGAGAGCGTTTCATTGCCATTGTTGGCAGCAACACCGCCAGAAGATGAAGAGACCAAACGCCGTCTTTCGCTGCTCAGCTTCTTGTGTCGTCCAGAGAATACAGCGAAATAGAGCAGAACAGAGGCGCTAATGAAAGAGAAAGTCAGCGAAGATGTCAGCATATACGGGAAAGTGAAGCCGCAACGGCCACCACTGATGACGCTCTCCGGCCGCCGGTCAGTGTCGCATGGTCTGGTGTGTGCCGTAACAACAAGAGGTACGTCTGGTCTGCTGGTGACTTCCAGTGAACTTCGATTCAAGGTCTGGTGTGTGTTTAGACTGAGGAAGACAAGATCCGACCTATGCACACACGACACGGACACTGAGCATGTAAGATAGACGCGTACACGCACCCCCACAAACATAAACCCGACACACCACACCGCTCGCAGCCCGGCAAGTAACAAGGAGGGCGCCGGCGCCTTTTTCCCCGCGCTTCTGTGAAACCCAGGGGTAGCCAAGGAAAACCTTGATGAGCCGGAGTCGCCGCCCTGGTCTCTGCAGGGTGTTCTGCAGTGCTGCTCGCTTCGTCCGAATGAATGCCTGGTGTGTTCATGACGACGCCGAATGAATGAATGACATTTCGTGAAACCGCTGCTGCTTTGATTTTGTGGTGTGGTTAAGGGTAAGATTGTGCGTCTCCACATCTAATTTGGCTTTCCATTATTGGGGCTTCGCATCTGCATGCCTCTTCATTCAATCACTCACCATGCGCGTGCATGCCTCCGTCCATCCAATAACTCTCCATCCATCCATCCATCCGTGGATGCATTGTGAACGATGTGGAAGGAGAACGGCGTAGAAGAAGGAAATGTAGGCACACCAAGAAAAACACAGATGAATTGAATTGTTGTCATGCATGCATATATGTGGCTGTATGTGTTCCCAGGAAATCCGGATACAATCTATCCATTCTTGACGGTGTTTCGGAGGAGCGTGGCAGATGGAGCGCGGAGCGGCGAATGCGTGGCGAGTCCCGACAGCCCGACCGAGAAGGGAACTTGCATCCTTCAAAGTGGTCGACTAGATAGGCTTGCAGCTGATAGGAGTGAAGGCTACAGACGACCGAAGGGCTGGGAGTGGCCAGAAACACTGAATATATATATCACAGGGAAAAGTTCAACGGGTTGGGTTGGTCGGAAAACGGACGAAGGAAGCTTCGCCGATCGCGATACTCGATACTCGATATCGCACTCGAAGACATCGGTGTGAGGCGACGGCCTTCATATGCAACCAGCGTGCATTCGTGCACCTGTTGGCCCACCCTTTGCATTGGCCTCGAGAGCATTGCAAATACCGCCTCTTCTTGTCGTTCTCGCCGGCTTGACACTGTCAGCCATGGCTGCAAGACGCACACACACATCAAGGAGCACGGGAGGCTGCATGCAGACGTGCATGAGCCGATGTGGTGCTTGCAATGGCGCACGTACCGACCGGTCCACCCGTGTCCTTGACGCACCCACTCACAGGAAGAGTGCCCACCCTCGTGGCATCCCGCAGGCTGCTCGGGAGGACGGGGAAAGCAAGCTGCTGAGCGGCTGCCTTTCCCCTGCCAGCAAGGATATACAGCGGGTGTCCTCAGCGCACGTGCACACCCATCTTCCTCACTGAAGTCACCTGGTGGGTGCCAGGAGGGTCCATCTGTCCATCTGTCTCTGGCGAGCCTTGTGCGCTCTGGTTGGCGTGCTGATGGCTGTCGCACTGGCAAGGATACGGACCGGATGGCGTGTGGCGTCGCTGCAGTGGCGAGGGACTGCTGATGCTGACGCAGCCGCCTTGTCAGGAGAAGGAGTGTCCAGAGAAGTGCGAAGACTGGGGGCTCAGTTGAGGGCTTAGCGTGCCTCAGCCTAGCCGAGTTTGTGTAGATCATAGCTTGCATAATTAGCCGGAATCCATCCATCCATTTCGTGCGCATTCGTCGGCTTTGCGTGGACCTTCTGACTTCGTTCGATTTCCTTCAAAGCTTTGTTGGTTTTGTCGGCATCGGTGAGGACCTGCTCGCTGGCTGGCGCCTGGAGGCTCTCCCCGTCGTCACGAACCTGACACCCATACGGTAATACACACATGACGGACCCAACCACCACCAAGGCAGGCACGTGAGGCTGAGGCAGCAAGCCAGATCTGAGGTATGAAGCGCCGGTGGTGACCGAGATGGACCATCTCGTGGTGGACACGTGGTGGCGGAGGCCGGAAGGCACCGTCGGCGTGGTGGTAATGAAGGATCTGGCTTGGTCTGGGCGCGAGGCGTCGTGCTGGGGTACAGTCCGGACCGCGTAAGTGGGTCACCGCATAAGCGGGTCAATTGCGTATGTGGGCCAGCAGGGCTG